TTTTCATGGGGCCAGCCCGGTGGCGCACTGCTACAGTGCGCCGCTTGGGAAGTGCGGTGGCGCTCCCGCCGAGGGTTCGGATCCCACATGTAGACCGGTTCCCGCTCACTGGCTGAGCGAGGTGCGGGTGCAGCGCCAAGGGTTGCGATCCCGTTGCCGGTCCCAGTCCGGTACGGGTGTGACACTGAGGGTTGCGATCCGTTGCCGGTCACGAAAAAAGACAAAAAAAAACCAAAAAAAAAACCTTTTTCATTATTATTATATCTGTTATGGTGATCTCTCACCAGTGATCATTGATGTTAACCACTGCTGTTATTTTGGGGCACCATGACCTGTGCCCATATACGGTGGTGAACTTCATTGATAATGCTGTGTGTGTTCTGACTGTTCCTCTCTCTCCTCGGGCCTTCCTATTCCCTACGACACAGTAATATTGAAATTAGGCCAATTAATAACCCTACAAAGGCCTACAAAGTGTTCAAGTGAAGGGAAGAGTTGCATGTCTGTCACTTTAAATCAAAAGCTAGAAGTGATAAAGCTTACTGAAGAACACATGTTGAAAGCCAATACAGACTGAAAGCTAGACCTTTTGTGCCAAATAGTTAGCCAGGTTAGGAATGCAAAGGAAAAGTGCTCAAAGGAAATTAAAAGTGCTACTCCAGTGAACATAAAAATGGTAAGAAAGCAAAACAGCCTTATTGCTGATATGGAAAAAGTTTTAGTGGTCTGGATAGAAGATCAAACCAACCACAAGATTCCCTGAAGCCAAAGCCTAAGCCAGAGACAGGACCTTTTTTTTTTTTGGCAGCTGGCTTATAAGGGGATTTAAACCCTTGTCCTTGGTGATATCAACACTGTGCTCTAACCAACTGCGCCAACTGGCCAGCCTCTCTAACTCTTCAATTCTATGAAGTCTGAGAGACGGGAGGAAGCTGAAGAGGAAGAGTGTGAAGCTAGCAGAGGTTGGTTCATGAGGTTTAAGGAAAGAAGCCGTCTCCATAACATAAAAGTGCAAGGTGAAGCAGCAAGTGATCCAGAAGACCTAGGTGAGATAGCTGATGAAGGGGCTACATTAAACAAAAGATTTCCAATATGGATGAAACAATTTATATTGGAAGATGCTGTCTAGGATTTTCAGAGCTAAAGAGAAGTCAATGTCCAGTTTCAAAGGACAGGCTCACTCCCTTGTTAGAGGCCAATGCACCTGGTGACTCTAAGCTGAAGCCATGCTCACTTACCATTCTGAAAATCTGATGGTTTTTTTGAATTATGCTAAATCTACTCTGCCTTTGCTATGGAAATGGCAACAACAAAGCCTGGATGATGATGGCACATCTGTTTGCAGCATGGTTTACTGAATATTTTAAGCCCACTGTTGAGATCTACTGCTCAGAAAAAAAGATTCCTTTCAAAATATTACTGCTCATTGACAATGTACGTAGTCACCCAAGAGATCTCATGGAGATGTACAAGGAGATTCATGTTGTTTTCACACCTGTTAACACAACATCCATTTTGCAGCCCATGGATCAAAGAATCATTTCAACTTCCAAGTCTTATTATTTAAGAAATACATTTCAAAAGGCTATAGCTGCCATAGACAGTGATGCCTCTGATGAATCTGGGTGAAGTGAATTGAAAACCTTCTGGAAAAGATTTACCATGCTTAAGAACATTCATAATTTATGGGAGGGGGTCAGAAAATCAACATTAATGTGTTTGTTAAGAAGCTGATTCCAACCTTCATGGATGACTTTGAGGAGTTCAAGACTTCAGTGGAGGAAGTAACTGCAGATGTGGTATAAACAGCAAGATAATTAGAAGTAGAGCCTGAAGATGGGACTGAATTGCTGCAACCTCATTATAAAACTTTAATAGAGGAGGAGTTGCTTCTTATGGATGAGCAAAAACAGTGGTTTCTCAAAGTGGAATCTACTCTCGGTGAAGATGCGGTGAACACTGTTGAGCTGACAATAAAGGACTTAAAATTTTACATAAACTTAGTTGATAAAGCAGTGGCAGGGTTTGAGAAGGACTGACTCCAATTTTTTTTTTTTTTTGGTAGTTGGCTTGTATAAGGATTGAACCCTGGACCTTGGTGATATCAGCATCACACGCCAGCCAATTGAGCTAACTGGCCAGCCCCCCTTTCTTCTTTTTTTGGTGACTGGCCAGTATAAGGATCCAAACTCTTGACCTTGGTGTTACAACACAGCTGACTCCAGTTTTGAAGAAGTTCTACTGTGGGTAAAATGTTATTAAACAGCATCACATGCCACAGAGAAATCTTTCCTGAAAGGAAGAGTCAGTTGGTATGTAAACTTCACTGTTGTTGCAGTGGATTGAAAAACTCACTGAAGCTTAATCCCGGCTATTACTGTTGAGGATGGGAAATCCTAGTATGATAATTGAAAGGCAGGGCCTTGAAGAGGTGATTAAGTTGATGGTTTAATGGTGGCCATGGGTGTGGTTCTGAGGGCTTTAAAAGGAAAGGGCATGAAGGGCTCTCTCTCTCTGATCCACCATTTTCTGCCATGTGAGACCCCTGCGTTGCTGTAAAGCCCCCACCAAAGAAGACCCTCACTAGAGGTGTTCCTTGAACTTTGGACTTCCCAGCCTCTGAAACTGTAAGCAAGAAATTTCACTTTCTTACAAATTACCCAGTTTTAGATATTTATGTTATAAGCAACAGAAACAGACTAATACAGTTGTTTTAAGAAACTGCCACAACCACTCCATCCTTCAGCAACCACCGCCCTGATCAGTCAGCAGCCATCAACACTGAGGCAAGACTCTTCCTCCACCGGCAAAAAGATTAAGACTTGCTGAAGGCTCAGATGATAATTAGCATTTTGTAGCAATAAAGTATTTTTAATTAAGTTATGTACTTTTTTTTGAGACATAATGCTATTGTACACCTAATAGACTACAGTATATTGTAAACATAACTTTTATATGCATTGGAAAACCAAAAATTTGTGTGACTTTATTGCAGTGGTCTAGAGCCAAACCTGCAACATCAATGAGGTATGCCTGTATATATAGGCAGATAGTCTCTGGAAGGGTACACAAGAGATGATAGCACTGCCTGCTTCTAGGGAGGAGAAATGAGTAGTAGAAAACATTGTCATTTATTGTTTTGTTTCTTTGAATACAATAGTGTATGAATGTGTTGCCTGTTTAAAAAACACATTACACTAATAAGGTTTTATAGAGGCTTTATGAAATTCTTTAAGGAAGAATTAGAGGAACTGCTACAGAAGTCAGTAGAAGATGATGGAAAAGCCAAATTATAAATTTGCTGAAGTGTTCCAGTGAAATTCTTGGATAATTTAATTTTTTAACATGGTTCCCTTCTGGAATTATGCCCCAAACCATGTATGATAAAAACTTGTGTTAAACATGATCATCTTTATTATTTAAAGGAGCTTTAGTTCAATTAGCCTTCTCCTTTGTCTACAGGATTTACTCACGTCACTAAAAATAGTAGGACTGTGCAGTGATCTTGATTTCCAGTGAAATGTGCAACTCCATTAAAGGAAATGGGACATGAGAAGACTTTATCAGGAAATTAGTGAAGAAGGGAAGAGAAGACTGCTGGGAAAAATATTCATATAGGTAAAGTTGTTTAAATGTCATGTTTTTATGCTATTCAAAAATGTAAAAAAAGGGCCGGCCTGTGGCTCACTTGGGAGAGTGTGGTGCTGATAACACCAAAGCCATGGGTTCGGATCCCTATATAGGGATGGCTGGTTAGCTCACTTGGGAGAGCATAGAGCTGACAATACCAAGTCAAGGGTTAGAATCCCTTTACTAGTCATCTTTAAAAACAAACAAAAAAACCCACCAAAAATGTAAGAAATAGAAAAGGATTTTTTAAAGGTGGTTTAATATTCTTGATGCCTCCATTAAAAATTTCTACAAGACACAGTGAAACTCACTCACCCTTCTTGGAACTGCGCTTGGGCAGATTCCTCTGCGACAAGAGTCTCGTACTCCTCAGCAGCAAACCGGTCCCAGTCGGATGGCTCAGGCCCATCGTTTTCAATATCCTGATTGGAAAGAGCACAGCCACAGGAAACAAAAATAATCAAAGCCAAAGAATTGGAGATAGGTCATCACAAGTGTTATGTATCACTGAAAAAACCTACCTGAAAAACATTTCATTTCAACATGTTGAAAGAAGTGTTATGGTAAGACTCCTAAGGTAATTTTCCATACCTCAAATCACAAAATTATAAGTAACTGTTTAGAAAGTAGATTTTTTAAGTTTAGATTCTTTAGCTTTGTAATCAGAGGCCTTTCTCCAGTTCTCCCTCCCCTGGCACTTAGCACACTAGCTATCTGGAGTGCCTTGTGATCTGTACATATGTACCACTCCTTCCTCTGGCAAATTTTTACTTATTTCTTTAAAAGCCAGTTCGTGTCTGTGAAATCTTTCTGGAAAAAGGCCTTCTCTTCCACATCAATTCCTTCTCTCTACTGTAGATGCTTTTGTTGCCATCTTTTGCTCTTGTGTCTTTGTCATCTCTATACATTCAGTATTTCTTCAACACAGTGGCTGGAATTTATTGAGCACTTTCTGACTAATAATGCTCTTTGTAGATCAGAACAAATATTGGTACTTACCACCTCTTATAAAAAAAGTAAAATTTAAAAGCAAAAATTTAAAAGTAAAAATTCTAACACAAATAAAAGAAATCAAGTGGGAAAAGGCCATATGTTTTCTTTCCTTTCTACAATATGAGCAGTGTCTTAGATTATATGTTCTGGGTATAATGTATTTCCAAGCTGAAAATTAGTATTGCCCGATTAACAGGGGTCAGTTATGCCTAGAAAAATTTAAGTACCTAACTACTGACCACACAATGTGTAAACTACTATATTAATCCATTTTAAGACCCGCTCCACCTTTTTAACATTTCTGAAACTGCCATGCATCTTAGACTTATAATTGACAATGTTTTGTTTTATTTTATTTTTTGTTTAGAGGTACATAAAATAATGGTGCATGTTAAGTTCAATGAAATATAACTGAACCCATGATAATGTGCCTTGATATGCCCCAAGATCAGCCACTGAGTATTTGTTTTTAGAAGGCGATCTTTTTATTCTTACTACTATTTAGGTCAAACAGTTGTGCAACATGTGGAGGATAAAAGACTGCAGATCTTCCTGTAGTTGTACTGCCACTCAACTGAAATAGTCCTTTTTATTAACATAATTCTTACTTCTGAAACCAGGGAATAATAGGAGCAAGTAGTGATATTCTGTTCTGTTTTTGAACAAGGATCATATGTCCAAGATTTTTTGAAGGTCCACAGGTTTTTGTGTATGGGGAAGGGTACTCATCTCTATTCAGATAAAGAATGGCATTCAAAACTGATAGCTATGCACAGCAATCATCAACACTTGAAAAAAGTGTTAAATTATCTGAAGGTTGTCTATCATGAAGAGGTTCTAGTTTTCACTGTGATGGAGAAAGCTATTCACCACAGGATCCCACAAATTAGTGGTACAGTTCAATCATTTTATTTTCTAACACAGATGTGCCTGCTATATATTTTTAAAAGTTAGTAACAAATTTTTTTCAAAACTACCTTCTGGACTGCAAAGGGATCTCTCTGTTCATGGTCTAAGTATTTCTCCAGATTAAAGAAAGTGTCATAGAAGATGTGAGCCATTCTGCACCTCTTCAGATCTCGCAGAGTTATTTTGCCTACATAAAAACAAATAAACCTGGTAAATTTTATCAAGACCTGTTTTGGTAAGAGAAAAAAATTTTCACTGAAGTCTAAAAGTACATGTACATGTTTATTTTATTATAAAACTCCCACTTTTTTTTTTTAATGAAGGTAACATAAAATTCACCATTATAACCATTTTAAAGTGTACAATTTCAGTGGCTTTTAATTCACTCACAATGTTGTACTACCATTACTACAATCTAGTTCCATAACATTATCACCACACCAAAAGGAAACTCTGTACCCACGAAGCAGTCCCTCCCCATCTCCCCTCACCCCCCAAGCCCATGGCAACCACTAATCTGCTTCCTGTCTCTAGAAAAATCCTATTTCTTAAACAGTGGATTTGCCATCAGTTACTGGTTCTACACTAATAGTCAAGGAGAAACTTTAAGCACTTTAGTACTTGGGAAGCCTGTATGGAAGACTCTGTAAAGTTAAGTAATTTTGGATAATCTAGGATCATGTGCCTCACTCTGTCACACAGGGGAACAGCACGTATGGTCCTTTACTTGTTCTCACCGTCGCTGGCTGGCTTCACCAGGTCAAGCATCTGACATAGCAAATCATGGAATGGCAAGGGCTCAATGCCCATGGCTTCCATCCGATCACACTGCTCCTCATAGAAGTACTCCAGCTCGTACATGGAGAGTACGCCATCTCCATCCACATCCATGCAGCGGAACCAATACTCAATGCTAAGAGATGAGGACACTCATTAGCATGGGCGGGGTAAATGTCCTCTATTCACCTAGATTTACTATTGCCCACGTTTTTTTTTAAATAAAGTTATACATACATATACTCTAGACTTAGACATAGTTTTACAAAGTTTATTAGAAAAAATAGCAGACTCTTAGCATGGGCGGGGTAAATGTCCTCTATTCACCTAGATTTACTATTGCCCACGTTTTTTTTAAAATAAAGTTATACATACATATACTCTAGACTTAGACATAGTTTTACAAAGTTTATTAGAAAAAATAGCAGACTCCTTCTTTCTTTTATTTTCCCATCCCACAACCAACCACTTTCAACACCCAATTCTTTTGTTTTCTACCTTCGTATTTTCAGAGAACATGCCTATATTACTCCTTTATTATATTTGTTTTAAGAAATGTGTATTAATTTCACACCATCAAAGATGAGTTTTTAGCTCTTTTACCACTTCCCTCCACTTTACCTACATGCCCTTCCTGTTTTCTTAATACAGTTAAATCGCTCAACATTCAGAGTTTAAAACTTTACATTTTTCTTTTATGTCTTATTTGCTTAGTTTTCTGTGTCCTTGTTATTAATTCAACCCCCAAATCTCTGCCAGTTGTCTAACCCCATACTCAGTCCCATCAGGTATTCTATCAATTGCATTTTCTTGATGATGTCTTCCTTGGGTCCTTCTGACCTTCTCCAATCTGAACTACTTGGTCTCTAGGCCCAGGTTCACAGTTTCATCCAGGGATCCCTTTCGCATTTCTCTTGTTTCTTGTATCTCACATGTTCCTCATTCTTTGTTTACTACCTTGTTTGGGGTAGCATGGTCTCCAGCAGCTTCTTAAAAAATGGGAGCACAGCAGGTACATCTTGTGAGATCTTGGACATTTGAAAGTGCCTTTTTTCTATCCTCTTGGCCGGTATGTTGGCTAGTTATAGAATTAAAAATTGGTGGTGCCTTTTCCTCAGATTTTTAAAGGCATTGATCCATTGTCTCCTATCTATCTATCTATCTATCCAGTATTGCTGAGAAGTCTAAAGTCATGCTGATATCTGATTCTTTGACTGTAACTTGTTTTTTTCTCTTTGAAGTCTACAGAGCATCTGAAATGTGGCTAGTCTAACTTGAGATGTGTTCTAAGTGCAAATAAACCACAGATTTTGAAGACAGTATGAAAAAAAGAAAGTAAAATGTCTTATCAATATTTTACATTAATTACATGTTGCAATGGTAACATTTTGGGTATACTGGGGTAAATAGAAAGATATATAATTAAAATTAATTTTACCTATTTCTTTTTACTTTTTCATTGTGGCTAAATTTTAAAATTACATATGTGGCTTACATCATATTTCAATTTCCAGTTATGTTGGACTTTTTGGCCCGCTTCTCTGATTTTCATATCATATCTCTTTTTCTATTGTGTCATCTTTTTTTATTGTTTTTTCTAGAAGGTTTACTTATCTTCTAAACAGTGTTTTTTATTTCTGCTCTCATAGTTTTTACTTCCCCGAGTTTTTTTGATTCCCCAAATGTTCCTTTTATAAAAAGTACCATTCTGTTCATGTTCTGTGAATGTAATTTCTTCTCATCTCTCTGAGGATATTAATCACTGTCTTTTTTGTTGTTGTTAAACTTTTCTTTTCTCTGAAAGCCTCTGTTTCATCTAAGTTACCTTCCCCCCCTCCCCGCCCCCCATTTGTTTGGTCTCTATCTTTTATGTAAGAGGTTTTACTCAGGTATCTAGTGATCCTTTGTTCTCTGCTCATATTTGTAGGTGCTAAAAAGCTGGTTGGAAGTTCTAACCTATGGGTTTGTTGACTCTGGGATTTACTATAAAATGATTTGGCTGGGCTCTTTCCTTGGGGATGACCCAATGTCAAATCTTCAGGACTTTATTCTTGGGCTAGTCAAATTCCTCAGAAAAGCATGTTTTAGTCTCTTGCTCGGAGGTTCTGGGCAGATCGACAGCATTCTGTCAGTTCAGTGAGGAACGAAGACTGTGCATTCAGTATATGTGTACTCATTCAATCTGTTTTCAATATGGCATCCACACCTTCAACTGTGCCAATGCTCCCCAGTCCAGAGAGATTCTGTTTTATACTCTCTAAGGAATAAAGTCCTAGTTTTACACCAGGGTAGAGTGTATGATCTGGAAGAGTAGAGGATATGAAACTTTTTTTTAAACAAACGTTCTGTAAACTCCCTGCCTTTAGCTTCACCTTTACCACACCCCGACTTCCAAGGTTCTTGGTACCCCCAAGTCCTGAATGTTTGGAGGTTTTGCTGGACATATCAGATTGATTCTTGGTTTTTACCTCTACTGGCTTAGGATTCAGGCAGACTGCTAAGTTTATCTGCTTTCTAGTTTCTACACCTTTATTTTATTATCTCATCTCCTATTTCCTTTTTTATTGTAGGTTTATTCCTTTAAAAAAATCTCTTTACTGGCACTTTAGTGGGGTTTCAAGAAAGACAAAAAGTCTTACATGTGGTTAAGTTACTAACTTCACTCAGAAGTCTGTTCACTCTTTATTATGGCCGCTATATCATATAGCACTGTCACTTAGAGTAGCATCTATAGCTATGTCATCAATTAATCACAGGATTTGAAGCAAACAATATTAATTGGGGGAACAATATTTTTCTAAAAAGCCACTAATTCATAGCAAAGTAAAACTTCTCAAGAGAAGGTTCTAGGAGATCCTTCGTCAAATTCCACTCAGGTAGGCCTGAAACCATATTAAGAACCACTATACATTTAATGGTTTTTAAAAATCTCTTTTGGGGCTGGCCGGTTAGCTCAGTCGGTTAAAGTGTGGTGCTGATAACATCAAGGTCCAGGGTTCAATCCTTGCACCAGCCAGCCAACAAAAATAAATAAATAAATGAAATAAAAATCTCTTGTGGATCGAAAGGTGAAAATAACTAAGTTGTGACTATTAACTGTTTTCAAGTAAGTTACACTAAGATCTTTGTGTACCTTTTCTGAGAAAGATAAATTTTTCATATTGCAACAAACTGAACATATAATACTGTACTTGCAAAGTTCTTTTGAGAAATATATTTTAAAAATTGTACCATCTTGATGTTTAATTTTACCACTAAAGAACAGAGGGGACATTCATTGGATTCAGTAAACATGAGGTAATAGTTTGGCCATGGTGAGGTCCAGTCATATCATATCTACTCTCGAGTTATAAAAGGGGCAGAATACTGCTCCACTTTGAAACAAGTCCTGATTATGGGAAAAACCTTGAAGACATAGATCTTAATAAGCAGAGGGCTACAATAAAAGTGTTATACCATTGCGTCTTTTTTTCTTTTTCAGTATTAATGGTTTCAAAAGGAGCAGGAGAATGTCCTTTGACTGGTCCCTTGAATTTCTTGGTGTCTTGAGATTCCTAATTACTTATCTTAAGAGAATCAAAATCAAAAGGAAGAAAGTATTTTGACAAAGACCTAAAAGGACTGAAGTGAAAGGCAACTTATTTTGCTGAGAAATGTAAATTGAAGTACTTTAGTCACTTGCATTTTCAATTAAGAACTCAGATGAAAGAGTCTACACAATAAGTAAAGCTATACTTAGTTCTTGTAATAGTCCATAAGAGAAAAAGAAAGCTAGAATGCAAGGAGATATATTGCCTGAATATTTGACAAAGGCACATGATATAGCAGCCTTTAAATATCTGAAAGATGTGGTAGATAAATCAGATGTGATACTGTGAGTATCAGAGAGCATAAGTATTATACAAAAGAGAGAAGATGTTTTTAGATGTAGACCTAGAAAAATGAAACAGGCTGCCTTGGTGGATAGTTATTTGACCCTGAAAATTTAGAAGGGGCTGGATGGATGGTTAAACACATGTAGGCTATGTTTAGAGGGAATTTTCTTATTGGAAGTACTGATACTCTCTAAAGTTTCTTCAAATGAGATTTTCTATTTTTTTTTTTTTTCTTGCCAAAGGTAACTTATCTTCTCAGAGCCTAAAAGTAATGACTATTCAGTACAGGAAAATTGGAAAACAAAAAAGCACATAGAAGAACTTCCCAGAGAGAACCAGTGTTAAATTCTCACTATATTTTCCATAAATTTTTAGTTTTTCAAAGCATAATAATATTAACAACAAATTGTATTTGTACAGTTGTAGATATAAGCAAGATTACTTCTTGCCCTTGGTTTTCTTAGACTGGATGAAATTAAGTTCTGGACCAGTGATTTCTTATACCTGATAATAAACTTCTATAAGCTACCCAAGAAGAAAGTTATAGGAAACTCCATTATTGCTTAGGGAGTAACTATTTAAATATACTTTCTGTTGTATATTCAGTATGCATATTTTAGCACCTACTACTTTCTAAGGCATGGAACTAGTGCCTCCAGGCATAACAAAGGTGAATGGGATAGTTGTTGGAGATGACACTTAGATGACTAAGGCAGAAGCAGAATGTGATAAAAATCAGGAGAGCAGGATTAAAGGACATACTAAAAAAGGGTTTGCGATTTCCAGTCAAGATGGCAGAATAGACGGTCCCCAGCATCACTCTCTCCCACAAATCAACAAATTTACAACTACTAAAAAGGAATGATAGTCAAGCTGGGGCTTCTAGAGCTCAGGGGAAGAGAAGGAGAGACCTATGGAGTTCATGAAGGCAGTAGAAGCCACAATGAGAGAAAGAAAGGATAACTTCCACCATTTTGAGCCCCACTTCAAGGCTGGAGCTGGTGAGCACAGGAGCAGGAGCTTGCACAAGCCAGAGCTGTGCCCTTCATATGAAGTTGCTTGGAGGTGGCAGGGGAAAAGAGGGCCTTGGTGGCCCACAGGCCAGCAGGCCCACAAACAGGGTTCCCATGGACCCAAACGGTAGTAAGGAAGCACAACCAACTAAAAAAAAGGAGCCACTCAGAGGCCAGCAAGTCATCACAAGGGACTGATGCACAGCTCACCCCATGGGAAGTGTTTGGAGTGTGGGCAGTGGGGGAGACAGGCCCACCAGGGGAACACTGGGGTACAGCAAGGACAGCTGATCTGCCGTCCAATCAGCACATGCCCACTCAGTGTAGACTGGTCAGGAATATAGAACTGCAGGGGGAGCAGTTTGCTGAAAAGACTCAGGTCCAGACCAGAGTTTCTACACAACATGGATGTACTGGATCTCATGCTACCTGGAATTAAAACCTGAGCTGCACAAAAAGCCTTCCCCAAGGAATGAGCAGCAAAGTAGCAATTTAGCTCAACCACAGAGATCAAGTACTGGTCCCCACAGGAAGTTCCCCCATTTTAGAAGTAAGCAAAGGACAACGAATTAGTTACAGCGCAGAGTTTCAGTGGTAGGAACAGTGAATAATCCAACATAGAACTGAAAGAAAAAACAAAATACCCACAGACCAGAGACAAAGTTTGATATTAACTAGTAAAGGTCTCACATGACCAAAGAATACCCTACCCATAAAGTCTAGAACGACCAGAAGCCCCCTGGGCTCCCAAGCCAGGGAGAGGGGAGGGCCAGGGGCCTCAGCCATGCCCCCCGACACCTGCAACCAGCTCAGTGACAACCACCGAGCCACCTCAGGAAGTGTCCTGGGATCCCAAGCTGGGGCGGTGGGGGGCCAAAGGCTTTGGCCATACCCCCTGACATCTGCACTCAGTCCAGCAATGACCAAGCCACCACTGGAAGCCCCCTGGTCTCCCCTGAAGGAATGAGGGGGATACCACAGGCCTCAACCATGCCCCTCCTTCTCCGTCCTTCTCTCATCCTATTTCTTTCCCCCTCCCCTCTTCCCTTCCCCCCCAACTGCTCTACAACTTAGAATGTAAAAAAATAAACTTAAAAAAAAAAAAGAGGGTTTGCAAGAGCCTGTCCACAAAAAAGAGAACAAATTTTATTCCTGCATTAAATTCATGGGGAAACTGATTGAATACTCCTAAAACCATTTAAAATGTAACAAAAAACTGTTCCTTTACTCTTTTCTTTTATATCATTTGAATATTTTCTAACATTTTAATCCTTTATTTTCTTTTACTGTGTATTTTTTTTTTTTCCTTTTTTTGTCTTTGTTCGTGTCCGGCAACGGATCGCAACCCTCAGTGTCGCGCCTGTACCGGACCGGGACCGGCA